CTGTGATATAAAATATACTCTGTACTGACCTGAAATGCATTGCGAGGAATTTGGGGATACTGCAGATCACTTCTAAAGATATTTACCTAATTATAAATTTGAATACTGAATGCCATTATTATCTTAATCCATTGCATTGCATAAATTTGATTAAAATGACTTTTTCATAAAATGGTTAGCCAGGATAGATGTTAGTAAAGTGACTGGCTGTCGGCCGAATACCATGGTTCGATTCCCAGCAGGGGTGGAATTTCTCTTTCTCCATTACTGTTAAGACTAAAATGCATACAGTTTTACCCCCATGCCTTCAGAATGTTGTGCTGAGATGGAGGAGTAACTTTACCTTTATGTTACAGCATGTATGTGGCAGAATAATTGGTAGGAATGGGGATAGCATCCGAAACATTTCTCGAGCTTCAAACGCAAATATCATATTGGAGGGAAGCAGTACCAGTGCCAGAGAGATGAGTAAGCAAAGCTTTAGTGTACAAATGCAGTTAGAATGTCTCTGTTACCAACTTGGAGACTTTGTTGCACTGCCCCTAGACCCTAAATATAAGCCATGTAAAATTTAACTACACCTTAATAAGGTTGAGTGGAAATCTCATAAGTTTAAACCTTGTAAGGAAAATACGCTATTTTGTGCGTGTCTGCAGAGCCTGTATGAGGATAGCTTTCAGATGTTCTTGCCACACAGAAGACCAATTGCTTCGATCTGCTTATGTAAAACAGTTGATAAAGATGTACTCATGATTAGTGATCTTGAATTAGAGATGTAATGTAATGTGCACCCTTGAAAGTGTTAGATGGATAAAATATTTTGGGTAAAAGGCAAATAAATGTAGATTTAGAACATTACTTATGGATGTTTTTGGTGGTAAATATATATGCAAAGTCTATGCTGTGTTCACTTTTCTTCTCTCTGTTTTGATAGTTGGAACTCGGAGAATCATAATCAAGGGAACGACCGAACAGATCGCACTGGCAAAGTCACTGATTGAAGAGAAGGTGATAGAGGACATTGAGATGAGAGAAAAAATTTATGAGAGTCTAGAGAAAAGATCTCCCCGTAAGAGGACTGGTCTGCAGTACCTCATGTCAGCTGAGGCAGTAGAGGTGAGTTGGGTCATGTTAAAACCCTAGTGTCCAGGAGACGACAGAACCCCGTTAAATCCTTTTGCCCTGTTCGAGCTGGCACACTGCAGGATCTTATTTCTGTAAATGGCCTAAAGGTATTTGTCGGCAAGTCATTCCTTTCACTGTGCCCACAAGTAAGTAAGAATTAAACACCTTAGAAACTAAACCTTTAGCTTATGTGTGCAAAATCTTATGCTTGGACCCTTTGTCATCCATTTTTAAAAACACAGTAAAATTTATTAAAGTGAAGCATTTTCATTCCACTAAGAGAAACTTGTTTTAGGTTGTGTAAGCCTTACTAATGTATGGATTGAGTATTGAAGACTGACTGATGCTGATTAATATAGCTGTCAGTGTGTGACAGTCCTTGCTACATCACAAATAACGGATGCCTGCCATATATATTATATGAGTCTTGGAATGGCGCCTTCTATTTTAGTATTCTAAAGTTTTGTTTTGTGATAGAGCTTTGAAAATTTTTTCAAGGAAGATAAAAATGGTGGTGCAAATTATTTTTGATACGTTAAATGTAACTGGTTAACTTAAATTCTTGTAGTGCCATTTTATCCATATATATAAATGATTATACTGCCGTGGCTTGGTTGGGAGATGAAGATGAGACTGCGGGTAAAGTTTATGGGTCTTTAAACTTTTGTGTCAAAACATTTAACCTGATTTGTGAGACATGGTGGCATCTTCTATGGTAACCATCAAGGTAGGAGCCATTTCATGTCAGATGAAAAGACTGAAGTACTATTTTCAAACTTACCATCTCTGATTTCAATGAAATATACTTTTCAAGGAATATCCTATGTCATGGAATTAGTATACTGATTCTCTAGTTTGATATGGACGGAGGACTGAAATATATGATTTTGTTGCAGGAGGAACGGATGAAGAGACACAATACTGAGAGTTTGATGACATCAGGCAAGGATGGTTTCATGGAAGTTTATGTGTCAGCAGTGGAGCACCCTGGGCATTTCTGGGTCCAGGCAAGTTCATTCACACTTAAGCATAAATGTTTTTTTATCCAGGTAGTTTCAGATCTGTGTGTTCAATTATATCTCCGTGTAACATTTTACAAGGCATGGTTTCTCCTTACCAAGTGTTCAGTTTCTATAATTGCAGCCCGTATCTCCATGGCAAATTCTTTCCAGGTAATTTTCCATACCAAGTCCTTGAATATTTGTCAGTCATTGTCATCTTCTAATTGCAGATTTTTTAATTGAATAGTGACTTATGAAACAATCAGGATTTCTCCCAGTCTTTGTGTTTATGATTTTTCCCTCTTAAAAACCTTAAATTGGGAAAATATAATTCCCATAATTCTGGAAATGGGACTCAGTTTTACAGTTGTGTAAAGCAGCTGCATCACACCTTATAGTGCCAGCCATGTTTTGAGAAACTGAGCATTTAACATAATAAATAATAACTTCTAAGCTAATTCATATACCTGAATAGGAGGAAAGACCGCCGCGGTGGTCTAGCAGTTAGAACGCTGGGCTTGTAATGCTGTAATACTGGAGTCCTGGGTTTGATTCCCAGCGGTGCTCAGATTTACAAATTGTGTTGGGCAAGGCCGTGGTCCAGGCATCGCAAAGTTTTCCTCCGGGGTTTCCCCAGTTTCTCCATGGCATCCCAACAATTACTCCACTTTCATCATCATCTCGCAAAAAGGGAGTCACAGCAGGAGCGTTAAATGTCGCGGTCCCGATCGAACCCATGTACTGATGGGTCGTGAATCCTTCTAACCACCAATGCACACCATGCTGAATGGTGTGTACTGGATATGAAAAAAAATATGAGTAAGGATAGGTTAAGTCAGTATAATGATTGTCTATGGGCTGGTTGACTGGAATTAAATCCCTGGTAGGGACAGGAATTTTTCTTTTTGCCAGAACTATGTCTATACTGTACCTCTGTCCTGTGGTCTTCATTTAAAGATTGGAGTGTAGGAAAGTTTGGTGTTACGCAATCACCACCTTGTCGCTATTGTGAACGTATAAGCTAACTTTCTTGGCATTCACTTCACTTTGTGGGTATTAATAAAGAGAAGGTCTTTTGCTACAAACTGCACCATTCTCCTTACTAATTACATATTTACTGCCATAAAAGTAATTTGTGTCCAGCTTGGAACCAAAGCTAAATTCTCAGTAACTTCATACCATTAGTTGTGCAGCTTAGTTTCAGTTTATTTCTCTTTTTACGCGTCATATATTCAGGAAGTTTTGGAAACTACTGGAAGTCAATCTACAAAACGTAGTATCTATCACTGACAATTAAAAAACATTGAAACTGGATATGCATTAGTATACTTTTGTGACAATGAACACATGACATATCTATGGATTGTCTGTACTAAATGTATTTAGTTGCATGGTAAAGAAATTTTTTCTTAAAGTTTACTGTCAGAATTATGTCTCGACGGTTTATTGTATTGATTACTGTGGTAGATGTCTGTTTTTATACCAAGTTTCTTTGCTTCTTTCAGGTGATTGGACCACGTGCTGTAGACCTTGATCACTTGGTGGAAGAAATGACTGAATTCTACAGGAACGAGGGGAATCGCGAGTTACATGCCATCAAAGAGGTACAAAACAGTGAAATATTGTTTGTTAATACAGCATGTGGTAACTGAGGTGGGGCTGGCATACACTGAGCAGTTGAAAACTCTTTATCTGGTCAAGAAATTCCTCACTTTTTTGGAACCTGAAGGTTTATCACTGTTACTCTGTCTTTCATTGGACATTATTTAAAAATCAGTTGAACCCATTTTACAACCTTTTTTGCTTGCTTAGGTGACAGTAGACCAGCTCGTGGCAGCACCATACAGCCATGATGATAAGTGGTATCGTGCCAGAGTGACTGAGCTGGTACCGGATGACTATGATATTGAAGAGAGTCAAGTGACCCTTTACTATCTTGACTATGGAGACTCGGACACGCTCCGAAAGAAAGAGGTTTGTTCCCTGCGGGCTGACTTTTTGAAGCTGAGGTACCAGGCCATTGAGTGCTCCATTGCGAAGGTGAAACCAAAGTGAGTAGACATTTTTTTGTTTCCAAACTTTGTTGGTACAATTTCAAGGCTCTGCATTGCAGTTGGTTGGGAAACCTCAACTGATGAGATCATTTGTGAGGCTTAAGCACGGAGGAAGAGATATCCATTTATTTGTGGTCTGTTTAATGCTGCCGTCAGTAGATCAAGCAATATAATGGGTTGATTAATAAATTCTGAATTGGAAAATGTATGGAAGGATGTGGTCATGTTCTAATATGTGAACTAACCAACTGTGGAGCAGAGTACTTGAAAAGCTGATGGTTGCTCAGCTAATTAAAAGTCCCTGTTTTTTTAGAGAAGCCAAAGGTCCATTATCATGCTCACGACAACCAATCCGAGTACCTGTGTAACATTTTGTAACATGGTTGGGTTTTTTTATGGTGTGAAGTTGTTACGTCTTGCCTGATCACCGAGTTGGAAGACCCCTATTCTCCTCCATCCACAACATAGAATATGCCACACTGTGGTGACAATGGATCTGCTTAACATGATGTTTAATAAGTTGTGTTTTGTTTTATGAATTATGTTTCACATTCAGAAGATGATCCCTTTAAATTTTTATTTGTTGTTCTAGTGCTTTATATAGACAAAATAGTTAACGGAAACAATGCTGTGACAGAAAATCTCTTCTCAAGCTTAAACTAATAAGAATTGTAAATTTATTTAGAATTTCATTAATGAATTCTTTCGAATAGATGGAAAATGCTTTGAATTGTTATTCAGTTATCAGAATGAATTTTATAGGAATTCTGAGAAAATTCCCATCATTCAAACACATACATACATGTCAAAAAATATAGGAATCATTAAAGTTGGTAACGTTTATTTTAAATATCTTTCATGTGATACAAGAAGAAAATTGTTCCTCGTGCAGTGTAGTAGTTCTCCTGTTAATTAGCTCTGGTGAGATTAAATCTGAATCGTAGGTAAATGAACATTATCTGTGGCTTTCCAGTTCATAATTTTCAGCCTTTTTGCCATTTGACACTGTGTAACTGGTGCAGTAAATAATATTTTATTAGTAATTGTTATGTGCTTTACTTTCTGTGTGAACAGTTTTCTTTTCATAAAATTTAAGTGATGTTTATGTTGTTGTTTGATAGTTTCATCTGACTGTGAACGTACAGTGTGGTAGTAGACTTCATAATAATATAGTAGTCAGTGTTAACATTGAAATTTTATTGTTCTGTGATGAAGGAATTATGAATGAACAGTATTTCTGCAATGTTGTTAGTGCTGTCACATTTTCATTCATGTTTTATTCTTGTTCACCGTGCATATCACATTGGCTTTTATTAGAAAAATATTCAATACAAAATTTGTAAGAACTCTGCTAGCATTTTGGCCATGTACGAGGTGCGATCGGAAAGTTTCAAGACTGTGTCAATAGAGGGCGAACCGGATGTAGTACGAGCTTCTGCAGTCTGGAAACCTTTCGATCGCACCTCGTATTAAGCTATGTGTATGTTGTCAGCCCTGACCACCGTTCAAGGTCGTGAATTTTTAAACTAGCTGAGTAACTGTCAGGTTCTCAAGAACTCTGCTTTATGAGGTTCATTAGATGCCTTGCTTTCCATTTTTTCCTACATTCGAATTTGTCCTGCATTTGCAGGGTCTGTGTTTTTACCTCTCTTGGAGGTTTTTGATTGATCTATTTTTTGGACATTGGTAGAATTCCTTGCATGTGTGATCAGCCATATCTGCAAGGCTTCTACCTATACAAACACAGAAAATCGCGGACAAACGGCCATGCCTTGAGCGGCACTCGAAGCCGCGGTCGCAGTGGCCAGGCGAACGAGGTCTGTGCCTCAGACCGCGTGGCAACTGTGCCGGCCTTAGATATCTTGCTCTTCATCATTGCTACAAAGTGGTTATCAACACACCCGATATTGCTACAAATGAGAAGCTTAAACAGAGATCGGCATTACTGCACTTTGTAGAATTAATGTGTGTTTGTCTTCTCTGAAGTCACATCTGTAATAACTGTTTTAAATTTATGGAAATTCATTTTTATTCAAGTGACATTTCCTTAACAAGCATGCCCATTTTATATAAAAAGGAATTTGCATAATGTTAACAAATAACATTGTTTTGAACTGTACAATTTTATAGTTGCAGGATCCTAAAATTTTTATAAATTTTTGTGTATTATTCTTGGTTTGGACTTATGATTTTTCTGTATATAAAAGTGTTATTAAATCCACTGAATTCCCTGAATCATTTCACAAACCAAGTTCTGTGTCACTAGGAAGACTGTCTAAGTTACTAGATATAGAGCTACCGAGCCCTGCTTCACATGCTTCCGTGAACAGGTCAGGATTCACTATTTCCATTACTTTCCATGCCAGAGATTTCTTTATATTTGTAGCATTGTCCTCACAGTATGCCAGAGCAGCCCGTTTGAGTGAATCACATTCAAACTGATCGGCAAGCAGCAGGAGTGATGCGACGCTTTCTGGCCTGATAGTCTCGACAAGAGTTCTCTCACAAAGTAATTTGAGTCCTGGCAGATGGTAATTCTCTCCAACTGGAAGCAGCGTAGAAGCGATGGTGTCCAAATTGTCGACATGATCGGTATAGATGTAACGAAGCACTTCCTGTAGGGTCTCGTCGCCAAGGCCAGGCAGCTCCAAGCATTTGTCTTGCTTGTCGTGCATTTCGCCCGTAACTTGTTGCTCATGTATTTTGATCATGGTTGCTAGAACTGGGGATCTGGCACTCAGAAGACAGCTGTGTGCTGCGAATTTGCGCTCCCCATCGCCTTGTAGGATGATGTCTCCTATAAACATGCACCTTAATTAAACCAAGTGCCAGGTGAAATAATGATTTAACTGCCTGACAGATGAAAAACTGGCCAATAATAATAATTTTAATCCATTTCATATCTTTATAAATTATTTTGTAAACTTCCCTTTTAATATTATACCATCAGTGTGGTCATGGAGAAATTAGGAGCTGATTAAATTTGAGGAATGTTTGTTATTTAAGATTTGAGGTTTTCACAACGGTGAGTATGAAGATTTCTGTCTTCTGGGTTGTTGCGCTGTGTAGTATGGTCGATGTTTACCAATGCGCCCTGATGATGGAGGCAGTATGACCTCTGAAATGTTGGTTAGCATCGACCAGACTACACAGCGCAACAACCCAGAAGACAGAAATCTTCCATCGCCCTGATGACGGAGGCAGTATGACCTCTGAAATTTTGGTAAACACCGACCAGACTACACAACACAACAACCCAGAGGACAGAAATCTTCTTAATGGTTTCTATTGCTTACGTCATATAATTTTTCATATTCCCATTTCCAGTCTGAAACTATAAAAATTAAAAATTGTTTCTAATTTTTTTATATGGATGTGAAAGTTGGCCTCTCATCGCAAGGTAAGATTATAAATTGAAGGTGTTTGAGAACAAATGCTGTGGAGGATGTTTGAATCTAAAGAGAGGCGAAGTAACAGGATGGAGGCAATTTCATAATGAGGTGCTTTGTAATTTATTTTTTTCACCAGATGTTAGGAAGCTCATACCAAGGAGCTGAGAAGATTTGAATTGTAGCATACGTGAGTGAAACAGTTTATGCATAACAAATTTTGGTTTGCAGATCTCAAGCGAATCAACCAGTAGGCATAGATAGCAGTAACAAAAATTGATCTTAAGAGAAATTTGTTGTGAACTATCAGGTTTTTGTTTTTGAGGGTTCTACAAAAGCAGGGAATTTACTTATTAGTTGAATAACTTTCAACTGTTTCAGTAGGATCTTACAATATGGAGTGAGTCAGTACATGCCTGTGTTTTCACTGACATGGGAGAGCATTCTGGCGAGGTCCTGTGACAAAGAGTGGTGCTCTTCCTCCGTTTGAACAATTTGTAACTTGATGAAGACGGACACGTCACCACTTGAGGACTCTGTATGACGTTCCAATATACTGAGGTCCCTGTAACCTAGTGAGAGCATCTCGTTAGTGTTCTGGAGGTGCAACGCCACACGACTGACATGACACATTTCCCATTGTTTGATCTCCACATTGTACACCCCAAACTGAAACCTAACGCGCGCTTGTTTAGGTTCCTCGATACTGCAGTTCAGCATGTTCAGACAAAGCACTACAGGGTTATTCAACCGTTTGCCCTCTGGTCCTCTCCAGAAACGAATAGACATGTTCCATCGTGTTTGGACTCCATTGACATTAAAATCAAATGTGGGGCTGTCGAATGAGTCTCGTTTGTTGATGACATGAGAATATTTTTCAATGACCCATGTGTATTTGAAAATGATGTCTGACACTGCTGGCACCAGTAATTCCACGCCTGAGCTTGGTCCAGCCATGGCATTTGGCCTGTGGAAAGAATGAAAAATCACGTAAATTTTAGTGATCAGTTTAAATGTTAACCAACACGAATGCAGATTTCCCTAAAGAAGGATAACTCACCTGATTTAATAAGTGGTTTATGAGGGAAATTTCTTTCACTTTAGACTTGTATTGCAAGTTTTGGATTTGTGTTCCCCTTAATTAGTTGAACTGTACAATCCAGAAGAATTGCATTTCACATTTCTGTTACGCTTATTTATTGTGCCTGGCAGCGAATTCTCCGCGGTTGGAGCAGAGCTGGTAGGGTCAGTGGTGCTCCTAACACTGTCCTGTAACGATTTGGCACCGGAGTTAAGTTTTATGATGATGGCCACGCAAGTAAGTGACGGCAGCATCCCAACTAACCTAATAGGCCACAAGATAAAGCCTGATTCACAACACAATGCAGTCGCCGCAAACCTTGTGCCGTGTTTACTCACGCTTTTTCATCTGCACAGATTACGTAATATTTGATTCTATGAATAAGTTGGTAAGGATATGTAAGGAAGCGGTCGTAGCCGCTCTTAAGCCTGTGTCTCAGAATTTGGCTGGAACGAGTAATGGAAACAACCTCGAACTGGTTGAGCAGGTTGAGGTTCGATCTCGAAACTTTCACAATGCGAAGCAGGAGTGCTAAGCACTGGGTGCGATGTTCAGTAGTGGATTCGTTGAGAAATTTCGTGGTGCGAAGCGATACAGTTTCTTAGAGAACAATGTATAGATGTGCGTGTTTAGTAAATGTCGCGAGGCGCGTGGAATAAACGTTTCCGCTGTTTTCTTGCAGGTCGCTCCGATGTGTATTATAGCGCTCAGCGTATAAACCGATGCAACTGAAATAGAATGGCACTCAACCAAATCTCAGATAATTGCAAATGGAAGTTTTCGATACGTTTTGGCATTTGGCAGTATGACCAATTGACGTCAGAAAGGAAGACGAAAGACGAAAAAGAAAGAGCAGGAGAAATACGAAAAAAGGGTAAATGAAGAAAGAGAAGAGGAAAGAAGGAAATACAAAAATAGAGAAGAACTAAAGCGAATAAGAAGGAAAGAAGGCGAGAAACAGATTGAAAGAAGGGAAAAGAAATGAAGAAAACAGAGAATAAAAAGGATGGAAATGAAGAACAAATAAGCAAGGAAAGAAAGACTGCACAAGAAATGAACTTCTTTTGTGTTGTAAGTTAGATAAACATGGAAGAAATTTACCTGCCAATTTTTAGCCTGTTCTATGAAACAACAGAAAGAAAATAATGAACTCAGTTTATTACAGCATTCCAAAAACTGTGCTAACAAGAAAGTCCTTCAAAATCATTTGAGAGAAAAATAAGGCAGGCCGAAATATGTATTAAGGAATGCAATTATAGCTGCCTGATTTCCCATTGAATTTCACTGCCAGTGTTTGTATTTGTTTTTAATTCTGTAACTTTCTCAGAAATAATTCTGTTTCGGTTATAGACATGTAACAAATCACTTGTAATTTCCTTTTTTACAGAGAAGGGGGCTGGACAGACGAAGCTACAGACTTGTTTGAGGACCTATGTCACGTGGCACAGTGGCGAGTGTTGATGGCCCATGTGGATTCTTACAGAGAACGGGCACAGGGCGAACGTGAAGGTAGTCCTATTCCTGTCGTGGAACTGTTTGATACAAGTGGAGCTCAGGTGGGTATTCTTTTCTGTTTTTCTTTTCTTCTTTACCATATTCTTTCTTCTTATTTTTTGTGTAGATGCATGTGTATAAAACAGGCAAGAAAAATTCTTTTGATTTTCTGGATATTTTTGGGATATTTTGCATATAATTTCTTTGAAAGTAATCAGAAAGTTTTGTTGCCCATGGTGCAGGGTTATTAGTCACCTGGTGAGGAAATTACTTTCATGGTTTATCACTCTCATCACAAGAGACCATTATCAGACTCTATCAAAGTCATTATAATCCAGTTGACACCCTATTTTTAAGATTAATTTTAATAGTACCTTCCATCTGTGTTTAGGTCCAACAGGTGGTCTTTCCTGCCTTAAAATTTCTACATTTCTAACAATCAATATCATCGTCGTTGTTGTTCTGCTTAAGTATAATAACTTTGCAGGATATCTGTGTGGCAAAGGAGCTGGTTAAGCAAGGGTATGCGACATGGGAGAAGAATCCTAAAGAAGAGCAGCAGAGGATTGTGGGTAAACAGATGCAGCAACTGCAGACAGCCAGTAGTGGAAGTGCATCACCTGGCATGAAAAGGAATGCTGTAGTCAATGATACTAGTGAAGAAGACCATAAGAACAGCATGGCATCTGAAGACAGCAGTAAGATAAAGTCAGAGGAAAGTGGAGTGCGTGAAGACAAGAAACTGGTACCGGGTTGTCAACGGCTGCCTGCAGAATTTTTGAATGAGTATGACAGTGGCAGCGAACTAGAGATGGGTTAGTTTCGTTATGTTAGCAGTCAGTGTAGACAACACTAGCCTATATTATGTAAATAAAAACTGAAGTCTTGATGAAACCTGAAAAAGGTATGTTCTTTAGATCTTTAACATATTCTGACTTGCGTGAAAATTGATTAAACATCTTCACGGCTAAGCCATTTCTTCCAGAGACAAGTTTTTGGAAACATATTTCTGACACAGCTTGAATTATTCATATTTCAGTGAAGTGTTTTTTTTTACCTATTGTCTAAACTGCTCCCTCTTGATAAGATACATTTACTGATAATTATATATAAACTACAAATACAAGCCCTAAAATCATGTGCCATATCAGGAATTTTCATTCACAACAATATTTGTTGCACTGAAATAGAAACTTTCCACACTAGCTGACTTATGTACCAGTTTAAGTAATAACACAGCCAAACATTTGAGCATAAACCTTGTTTATGTAAAGTACATCATCCTTTAATGTCTCCACCAGGATGCATCATTTTATGAAAAATACTTTATTCTTTTCTCTTCTACCATAGGCACTCCTTTTTTATCTCTTTC